GAGAAGAAATAGGCCCTTGATGCTTTGCTTGTTTTATGTGGCAAGCTGATTTGTTTAGAAGTAAACTAGCTACATCTGAAAAGGCAAATGATTATTTATTTCATGGGAAATTGAACTGCATATTTATTTACACATTTTAAACACGATCAAGTACAGCAGTTTGGCAAGCTTCTACTGAGGAACAAATGCAGAAACATTTTAGCAAATGATGGCATAGCTCAAGATTAAGCGGTTTTTAAAAACCATTACCATTTTAATGTCTACAGATTGCTCCATTCCTGTCACTAATACACTCATGCCTTAAACAATCTGAATCTAATTTGTATTGTTATTTATCTTTTACTGCCAAATAAATGCAGTCAGTGGACAAATCTTAAATTTCCCACTTGACATTCACACAAAGGGTTTAGCATCATCCTGATCAACAATTCCATCATGACCGACCTCTTTTTATTGACAATGAACAGAACACAATGCTCAGTGAAACTGCAATACCTAGGCCAGTGTTTAATTAATTAGGCAATTCCTATGAATTTAACAGTTAATTTGCATGTGATATACAGCAAAGTAAAGGGAACACTCATATTTCATCCTGCATAAATAAAACTAGTGCAGAAGTCTTTCTTCAGGTTAGGATGACTGTAGCTGTATATTTCCTTGTTTCTATACTGAGGATATACCTCTCTGATTTTTGCTTTTATTTCTATTTTATGTCTTAAGTTAATGTGCAAACAATCAATTGGAAAAAAATCAATTGGAAAAAAAAAGCAAAACATTTATTTGCGTTTATGGTATTGACCTAGTGGAGCTGTAAATACTTCAGTTCAAACAGAAGGGCACTTGCCTTTTGGGTCACTGGTAGTAAGGCCAGAATTTTGATCAGCATTCAAGTCCAGCATGTCATCACACAAGAACATGAGAGGTTAGTAGGGCAGATTTTAAAACATTTGACTGTGGGACTGCTGTCTGACTTATACATTCATAACTTCTAGGGTTGAGCGTGCAAATTCGGCAAGCTTGAACTCAAATGACTCCTTGCAATTCTAATACCCATACTTAATGCATTAATTGATTATTTTATTTATTAAGTTGCTGGACCTACAAAAGAATATTTATATCTACATTCATGAGTTAACAATACAAATAATGGTGCTTTCCCAATTGAAACTAAATGAAAATATTGGAATTCTCCAAAAATTAGATTTGCAATTAGAAAAAACTTTTTTTTCTGTTTGTTCTAAAAATTGATGTCGATACATTAAAAACGTTAGGTAACTGATTTTGGTCAGATAAACAATAATCCTTGCTAATTTATAATAAAAATCATAATTCTTAGTGGTCTTGAATATCAGCAATTAAACTCTGTAATGCAAAGAGCTGCAGAAAGCAAAAACTGGTCATGTATCTAGTGAGAATTGCTGGAGAACTTTAGTTGACATACTTGCATTAAAAGTTGGCTAACATATTGAAGCAATACCTCATAAAACTGCAAAAGCACTGAGATGCTACATTAGCCAAAATGTATTTCTGACTCTTTAGCAATTAAAGCTGCCATGGAACATTTATCAGTCCATCATCTCACTTTTCTGATATACTACCTTTCTTTTTCTCTTTCTTTTCCTCTTTCTCTCTTTCTTTCTCTCTTTCCTTTTCCTTTTCTGTTTATTTTTCTTTTCTTTTTGCTTTTTCTTTTCCTTTTTTTTCTTTTTTTTTGCTATAAAGGGATTAGCTTACTGGAAAATATGAAAGCAATTCATATTTTTAAAAAATCCCATTTTTTTTCTCTTTTGTTGACAGCACATAGAAAATGTGGGTTGACTTATTTTTGATTGCTCTTTAAATAACAGATTAATTTAATAATTGCCAAGATATTGAATAACAAAAAATTATGGGGTTGGATAGCCAAACCCTGACCCTAATGACATTCTTACGTTAATTCTTATTTTCTTTTAGGTTCCTGCTTTCTTAATAAAACCTATATTTTTGAAAATCAGTTTAAACACTGCAAATTATCTCAAAGTAGCATTTATTTTTTTGCAAGGAAGAGATAAGTTTACATGTAGAAAGTATACTTTACATATCTTTATACGCTCAGTGCCTGTCTCAAGCCCATTTCAGTCTATAGGTGCATTTCCATTTCTAGAATAAGTTTTGAGAATAAGTTTTGAGTGATGACTTGCGAAGGTAATCCAGCCATTTATGAAGTAATTAGCATAAATCATGGAGTGTGATTTATTTGTGAAGATACTTTAAGTTTAAGCATCCATCATTAAAAGTTAGAGTATTTATAAGAGCAAGGCTTAGTTTTCCTAACTACAGCTGGTTACTGTTTCCCTTTGATTAAGCACTGTGAAGCGCTGAGTATTCCAAGACCAGTAATAGCAAATTCAGTTTTGAGTTAAACTGAGACCTTGGCTCTCACCACATGACCCTCTTAATGATGGCTTTGACTTTGTTAGCAATAGCACAGTATTTGTACTCCAAGATGTCTTATCTAAGTAACACTCTACGATTTCAATTAACAACAGTCATCATTTTTATTTCTGCTCTAGAACTATCTTCATTTTCCTTTTACAGACAAGGGCTCTCTTGTGCCTGACACTATAGGAAAGAAAGATAGTGACTTGAATAAGTAACCTATGACAAAAATTGCAGCAGAGTACTGTACAACTTCTAGCTGCAAACCAGTTCACAGTATACGGACTTTTTACAAAGTGTTCTTGAGAGGAAGTGGTTATCCTACAATATTAGCATGGATGAATGTTCAGCTAAATATCTACATACCTCTTCTTCTAATTCTAATAAATGTTGGCAATACATTACAAATAGATTAAACTGTAACAGAAATCCAAGGTGGGCACATAAAAATATTCCACTGTCTCAAAGGGAGGTGATTTGAGCCCCACATACACAAAACAGACATTGTTCAGATGTGATCACGGAGCAAAGCATCAGTTCACATCTCACTGAATATAAGGCTGAACCCTAATTTTGAGTGATTGAGCTCATCATTCTTAAATTACAAGTGTTAAGCAATACACTTGCTAGTAAAAATATTTATTGATACTGAGACCACGAAACAGAAAACTGGGTCAGAAGATGTAGGTCTACAAAGGACTTTGGGTCAAATTCCTTAGCTGTTTTGCGGGAAAGTGTCTGGGGTTATAACAAAAATATTTGGAATCTAATGTAGTCTGCAATCTTAGATGCAATTTGTAGATTATTAATGACAGTAGGTAAATGGTATAATGAAGAACTTTCCCATGAGAATCTAACAGTTCTTCTGGATTATTTCTTTAGGTTTTGCCATTGCTTGTGGAGAAGAATAATGGGTGCCTTGAGATCAGTTTGTAACTTACAGGGTTTTCTTTTCTTTCTTTTTTTTTGTTCCACTGCGGAACACAACATGTTTTTCTATGAAAAAGATCTTAGCGCATTATTTTTGAAATACTATAATTTCCACTCAACGCAGTTTCCAACTCATTGCTGTCCAAGCATTGCAGAATTGTGTTATTTTTGAAAGTTATTTCCTTTGACCTGAAGTTACCTAAGAAGACAGACTGAAATCTGCGTTCCTCTGAGAAAACCTGGCCCTGTTAGATTAATTTTCTTTTATAGAAACGTGCCTATTTGCACTATTTAAGCACAAGATAATTGTTACACAGCTTTTCAGTACTATTCTGTTAAATGAGCACAGAACTGCTTGAACTCTACAGAGCTGGCATCAAGCACCCAAAGCAGTGCAATGTACATTGTATTTCACTTGTCAAGTGGAAAAGCCATAGCTTGATTTTGTTGTGTTTGTTCTTTTCAGTCAGTGGAACTGAACACTTAGACACTTAAAGTGTTCCCTCGGATTGACTTACGAAGAACTTTTGTATTTCTATCCTACAAAGCTATCATGTAAGAACAATTATTCACCAAGATTTTAATAATTTCCATATAATTAAAAGTTGGTCAACAGCAAATAAAAAATTTATATCAGTGCTTGAATGATATCTCCAGTGCACTTACTCTTATTTTCTATTCTAAAAACAGTGAATGCACTGAGGAGAAAATTTAGCAGTCAATCCTATTAACTTCAAAAAGATGTTTTCACCTTTTTTTCTATCTCCACATTGATTTATTCCAGAAGGGGACAGCTGTAACAAGTTTTGTTTGATTTATACATTCTTGGCATTTATATTGTTAGACAAATTATTGCAATGTATCTCCATTGCGATTATGACCTCTCAGCAGAAAGGAAATCTAATTAAAAGAGACTCATTGAAATACAGAAATTTGCATAAACAATATTCATGTTCAATACCTACGCAATTCTCCAATTAGGGTGCAGCATAACTGCAGTACAAATGTTGTTGTACGAAGGCTTGAAATACAAAAGAGACATTTTCGGAATGAAGGAAGAAAGTCATTCTCTTCTTTTAACCCTATGACGGGCAACTTTACAGTATCACCAGCAGAACTGACAAGGTTACAGCACTGACATGAGAGATGTGTAACTACTAACTCAGCTTCCTAGCACTGAAAGTTTGAAGGATAGGTTTAATCTTCTCCCACGCTTTTCAGCCTAACAGTTCTAAGCAGGAAACATTTGGCATGCAAGTAAAACAACCAGATCTCACCATAGCACAGGGGAATTTGTAACCTACCCAGCAGAGTTCCATTCCTCTGTAGAAGCGCTAACAGTACTAACTTCTCTGTAGCCAAATCTTCGCAAAATTTGCCCTTAGAGTGCTGCCCATTCCCAGGAGAAGACTTCAGTATTCTTTGAAATTAACAAAAGTTTCTACTGGTTTTACATTTTTTAAAAAAAGAAAATAATAGGCACTGCTTTAATTTCAGAGTATTAAACTTGTAAATGACCCGTGGAATAAGAGACAGTGGTCGTTATCTAAGATAAAACATACAGACTTGTACGTTCTTCAACATAACCTTCAATAATTCAGTTTTACTGCTTTGCCACAAAATTGTATAAAAAAAATATCAAAAGGGCTTACTTGAAACAGTCATCGCAAGCAATATTCCCCGTGGTCTCCTTTATAGTGCGTTCGGAAACAAAAGCTGGATATTCAGTATCACAGGGCTCTAGGGTTTGTTTCAACCTCTGCGCTATAGGCACAGCAAAAACAATTCTTGATGTTAACATGGGAAGAACAGCAGACAGAATTCTGAACAAGATGAGAAGCTGTATTACAGAGCACAGAGAATGGAAATGTTACTCAGCTTCTGCCACCCTGTGAGATTTCCTAGGCAGTGCATAACACTATTTTTTCAATTGAAGGAAAAAAAGAAATCCATCAATGGAATGTAATTTTCTAACATATAACCATTAATGTAGTTATCCATGGTTTAGCCTTTGCCAAACTTGTTTATATTTACAGACGATTACTTATTCTTTCTCCATGGAATCAGGATGGAGTTGCTGTTGCTTTTATTTCAGTGATGTTGTGCATCACTAGCTCATTAAGTATGGGTGCTTCCATGTATTTGATAACTAAATTTTGATAGATTTTACTAGATTACTTTATTTTAGAAGCCAAAAATATTTTTTTTGAGTTAAGATTTGGGAATCTTTAAAGAGTTTCAGTAGTAAAAATAACTCTGTGGGTAGAGGACAGAAGCATTACCTTGTCTAGAACTAATGCCTGTAATCTGCTTCCCAAATTTGTAATCATAAAAACACCGTGACAATTTTCACTAGCACAAGGGTCAAGGAGGGGACATTATTTATACCTTAAAGATGGGGAAATGAAGGCACAAGAAAATGTGAGTGTTCAAGGTCAAATGACAGGACAGCAGCAGGGCTGGGAACTTCAGGCAGCTCTTCTGACTCTCATGCTGATGCATCTGTTGGACAATGTCTCCCCCTCATTCCTTCCTTTTCCTCTACACCCCTTCATTCTTCCTTAACACAGAGATACACTTGCACATCAGCACAAATGTTAAGCGTATCTTAAACTAATTGCTAAGTGAGAAAACAAGACCAAGGATGACAAAAATAGATTACACTAAACAGACTCTTGGACTCCACAGATCTTCCGTTCAAGACAATCTGTTTCAGAGCCAGTGGTGTATTTATTACACACTGACAGTGGAATGAACCAAACTGCATTTGCAATCATGTCTGTTTCTGAAACGTATTTAATTAGAATAAATATTCACCCAAAGAGTACCTCAAGAATGGTATAAAATTGGTGAAGAAAATTTTGTTGTTTCTGATGCTTCCATTATGGACATCAACCACTTTAACAACTTAGAATGTTCTTAAAATTTATCTGAATAGCTCCACTGAACCTTCTCTCTCTTCTTTTCTCCTTACCTGTTGCTAAGAATGACTGAAATTTATCTCACCTGTAAGTTTGTGTTTGCCCTCATTTACATCAATACAAGGGTCTTGTAATGGAGGCTGCCAAAAGCAGCCTCTCATGCCCTTAAGAGTCCAGAAGATGGTGAAGCTGCTCAAGATTCAGGACATCAGATTCTTCTCTCACATTTACAAGTATGATTAACATTACAAGACCACATGCAAGAATATTCTTCCTACCGTGGCTTCATAAATTTACATGTGTGGGGAAGGTCTAGGATTTCAACATGTCATGACAGCAATTAATATCAAAATCATTACAGGAAGCAATTTCCCCATTAAAAGACTTGAAATTTTGCTGTGCTTTATTAAGCACCATTAAGTAAAAATAACTGAATCTGAGAGTTCGTTGGTTTTATTTTCATGGTTTGAAGTCATACTCTTACAACTCATAGTGGCAATGTAGCATCTACAGAAGAACAAACCTAAGTACATGTTTTTCTTGCCTGCTAAATTTTGTCTGTAAAATCTCCTTTGCTTTCATTTTGCTCATACTTGTTGATTTCCAAACTACCACTACTGCCTAATCACATCTGATCTGGCCAAGCAGTGCCATAAAACCATGATATTCCAGTGAGTGTGATGAGAGGGTATTTTGGATACCCTTACTCATCAAAGAAATGGAGCACAGGAATTGTGTAGCAAAAAATTCACTTTCAACTAACACTTGAATGAAAATCCTTCAATCACTCTGCTGATTTAAAGTGACATAAAGTGATGTCCTCAGGAAATGAAAGGTTGCTAGTTATTAATTGCTGCCTTTTGTAGTTAGTGTGTGTAAAAACCAAAACAGACATTTATTTTAAAGAGATGAGGAGGGATGCTGCCCTTTGAGGATATTTCCCCTACCACACAATTCAAGTGTTATTGGATACTTCATGATGGGATATATTAAGGCACACATGGAAGGTACACTTGAAAAAAACACCAAAGAAAGTAACTATTCCCTACTCAGGCTGCTTTGTGCTGTTCTACAAACAGTAAGAGTGATGGCTGGCATACCCGCCATTCTTCTTCAAATATAGGAACAGATTTGCCTTTCCTGGGACTAGCACAGCAAATCCCGCTGTCCTACACAGTCATCCATTTTCATCATGGTTAGGGACATCACTGGAAAGCGAGTTGTGGTTTTCAGATGACCCATATAGAAACTGCTGATAAAGAAACAGCTGGTTCTCATGGAGATCTGTTTCTCTATGTGCATTCAGTTTACACTAAGCTCATTGTTCACACAACAGAAAAATTGGCTGCAGTGTTGCAATAAAAATACACAGTTTCCATCAGTACGGGAAATGCTGCTCTAAGCTGATGCTTAGAAACTTTCATCTCCAGCAGACATCCATACCAGCCTTCTTTTCTCTCTACTCAGTACGTACATCAGGTTGAAGCTGACAAGTGCTCTGCCATTTACTGCTACACTGCCCAGTTGCTTACTGATAGAGGACACTGGAATACTCTAGGGCATCAGGCTGTTCAATTTTCCCAATGCTCTACTTTTAGCCAGGATCTTACTTTGGCAGAAAAACAACCTAATACCAATGCAAATAGGAATTAAAATATAAGGCAACATGTTTGATGTCTGCTTTGCTGAGAAGTATAGAAAACTGCAAAGCTGAGGCTGAAAAAATCACTTAAAATCATTGTACCAATAAATGCTGTGCTACACAATCGGCTTCTGAAATAGCCCATTGACTAGCACTGATGCAAATTAGCTCTTTAATTCTGAGCAGCACTTCTAAAATGTCATTAAAAAATCTGTGAAAATATGAGATAACTGAAATTCAAAACTTAGTGTTCTTAGGGATTCTTAAAATTTCATTGTTATTTCAGAAGAATTTTGAATAGTAAAATAAAACAAAATATATTTTTAGCTTGTATTGTTTAAAAGTAAAAGCATTAAATTTAGTATCTTAACATTTAAAATTTATTTCCATACGATATTATATTGAGATTATCATTTTCCTTTGGAATTATGTTGAAATGGCATTTTGAAGAACAATCACCCCATACATATTATATCACCTCCAGAAGAAACATAGTATTAAGAAGAAAAAGGCAGTGTAACTGTTTAAGTCATAGATCGTCTTAGAATGAAGAGAAATATTTTAGAGGAAAAAGAAAATCTACTATTCCATTCTCTACTATTTTAACTTTTCCATCATAGCAGCGCACTGCATTCTTAGAGTACATGAGCACTCTGCTTATTCTTAGAAGATCTCAGTTCTCCTTTTTTTTTTTAGGAAATATTAAAAGAGAAGAGAATGCTGAAACAAAAGGCAAACTCATTTATTCAGAAGTCTACTATTTAATCAAAATTTTTAATGTACATTTAAATTTAAAAATAAAGTAAAACAGAATTCATGCTTACCTTTTGCTGTTAGATCAGAGTGCCACCAACTGCATAGATTAAACTCCACGAGGAACCTAAAGAAATTAGATTTTTCAAATTATCCCAAGGAATGTTTTCAGTACACTAAATTGACTGCAGTTCGATACCGTTAATCCCACTTTAAATAGAAGCTAATGCAGAACTGAAATTCATTTGGCTAACGTAAGTTTGGGGTTATCAGCTTCTGCTTCTGTTGTATCTTACCACCAGGAATTTATTCCAAAATAAACCCTATTAATAAATCATAGATTTCCCTATTGCTGAACTACATTCTTATTCTTATCTGGTGCCCATATAAGCTCTCAGTGCATGGCAGCACACAGTATTTTTATTGGTGAACATTACTGAAAGCTCCCCTTCACCATGTAATGCATTTTGACTCTCCAGTAAAATTTCATAAGATTGATAACTACCCTCACTACCACAAGGAGAAGAAATAAAATAATTCCCACAATTACTTCCGGATTTAAAATAATAAAAATTATTTTATTTCTAGGAGCAGCAAAGACTGATTAACTGGTATCTAACCAGCTCTGAATAGACACGTAATGAATGCATTTTCCCCACTAAAATATACTTCGATTAGCTCTGAAGAATGGACTGAAACATATCTGTCTATCAGTTACCAAACTACTGGAACATAAAACTAATATCCAGTTTATCATAGGAACATGAAACGACAACATTTCTAACCACAGAAAGTTCCTTAATTTTTTGAAGTTATTATGGTTTGCATCAAAGTCGTATTTTAACACGATTTATTTTCCAGATATTTACTTTGAGCACTGCTATTAAGATCAATCTCTGCCCTCCAGCAATATAAAATAAAATGCCACCCAGTTGATTTTCCTTACCTTTTAATCCAAATTCTCTAGGAAGTTCATATAATTTGCAATTAAAAAAAAAAAAACTGACTACAAGAAAAAAGATTAATTCTATTTCAAGGGAGATAAAATTAGTTCGATCTGCAAGCTTGCTCTCTGATAAACACTGTAAAACAAATTCAATGAATTTATAGGCTTCCTCTTCATACAGTATTTCTCTGTGAATTCACTGACAAACTTTCCTAAGGGCAATGCTCATTTTATATTAACTTCAATTGTTAGAAGAATTAGACAAGGTGGAAATTGAATACAGTCTACAGAGTATGCCTTATCTGGCATATGCTGTAAAGGGTCCATCTTACAAAAATTTAGGAGATGATGAACTCCGCAATGAATCACTCGAACAGTTTGCTGTACTCACATCAGCCTGCCCAAGCCTGCCCAAGCAGCATTACAACCAGACACTCGTGTTAAACACAACATTCACCGTTCAATTTAACTGCAATAATAAATTTGGTTTGTATATTGCAATATCCTAGGCTTACTAAGCAAAGACATACAGATAGAAGTGACAACCATGAATAATGTAATAGAAGTGCAACTGCACCTTCATATAGCTGGGATTTTTTCAGATTTTAACAGTGCTAAATTGGACTGAAAAAATGGAGAGAACTACTACCAAATTGAAAATAATAAAATAAAAATAATACAGTATACATAAATGACAAAAAGTACAAATGCTCATTAAGCATTAAAAAATACAAATACTCATTAATTTGTATAAATATCCATTAAACTCTTGAAAAAAATTACTTACAAGACAAGCTCTGTCATAATCCATTTTACTGCAGCAAAGAAGGCATTATAAGGCTGAAGAGAAGCAACTCATTTAATAAAAGGGCAAAACATGCAGTATTTATATCTTAACTGAATTCTTCATGGAAAGACAATGTTATGGATATTAAAATGCATGGGAAGCATGAGAAAAAGAACAATAATTTTGTTATGAAAGAAAATATACCATTCTGCTGAATAGTAAAATATACAGTAATGAAATTTTCTCTTAATGTGGTTGGTTGGACACACAGATTATCAGCCGGAAAAGGAAAGTTTTGCAAACTATTCTTAAATATTTAACCTCTAGGGGTTCCTATTTCCCAGGCTAATGCTGGAGGAACAGTTCTGTTAGAAAATATGGGGCTTTCCTTAGGCTGCAACTCACAGACTTGCCTCTCTATAATGTAAATCTCTATTCATTATCTCCGTCTAATGAGACTAGGAAATGCTTCTGTCATTTGAAATTACCTAAACAAAGTCATCTGTGTCATAGTGAAGGCTCACTTTTAAGCACTGAATGTAATTTCTAAGATTCTTCCACAATCTTTCACTTTGCTGGATTATAAAATTTACAATAAAGCAAATATTTTTAAAATCCTGTGTTTACAGTACGACGAATAATAGAGACAAATCATAAAATTTTGGTTTTTTTTTTAAAACAGAATATCCATAAGATTATTGATTTATGAAAGTATATTGTTCACTGGCATGAAATTCTGAAATAACAAGCCAGCAGAACACAGCCCAGGACTGTCAAGATTTTCTCCAATTAAGTACTGTCTGACCAGAGAAGAGAAAACAGCTGTAAGTATTACCTAGGGATGAAGAGAAAACAAAATTTCAGCCCTGTGGAGCATCCTTTTCATTTTAATTCCCAATCAGAGAACTTGACATTTCCCACTCAAGTAATTAAATATTTTGTTGTACACTTTTGCTTAGATAATACCAAATTATATAATAGAAAATAACATGTACTTATTATTTGTAACTGATATATGTAAAGTATAATATGTATTATAAAAATGTAACTTTCAATATGAGAGCTGCAAGAAAATGAAATAACTTCGAATATATCTAAAAAAAAATAAAGGTTTCAAAATCATGACTACAAAATCAGAAAAATGTGTTGGAATTTTAGCAGAAAATAATTCATTACATAGCTAGAAACGTGTTTTCATGATATGGGATTTTATCAAGACAGCCTTTCACACTCAAAGACTGTTCCCTCAACAATTGCAACCAGGTTTTTTCTTTGTATGTATCTCAGCTATCACCGAGAGCCAAAGGTTGAGCTGGGTGATTCCATGGCACTGATTTCCTTGCAACCAAGTGGTTCTGTGGAGGTTTATCTGGGACTTAAATAATTTTAAACAAGAAAATATGCTAAATAGCAAACTTACAGATTGTCTTTTAAGAAGCAATCCTATACTGTTAAAGAAAATCAATAAACCATCTGTAAATCTTGTCCATCTCTAATTTACTGTTTTAATTCCACAACCTGAACACTGGTACCAGTCACCAGGGTCCAGCCCTTGACTTGCATTCCATGATTGTGGCAGAATGCTGTGGGACAGCTGACACATGGGCTTCCATACTTATATTCCACTTCTCTGCTGTTCAAAGCATTCATATCTGTTTTTGAACTTTTTAAAGATTTTCTCAGTCTCTATATCTAGCAGTGTACTTATACAATGGTAATTCTCAAGTGGAATTATAAATATTTGGGAACAAATGCATTGTTTATGTGAATGGAATGCTGCCCTGTAACCTAATCTATGTGTGCAAAACTGTGGGAGTAAAACAAAAGAAAGAAAAAAAAATACTTTTGAGGAGTTGAACTTGACAATCCTTGAGGATTGAAAGAAGAGTTTTCATTATCTAATAATATAAGGAAAGAACATGCCCCTTAGCTGAAGCCCCAGGTCCCAGAATGGAAGGTTGTTGCTAGAAGTGTTAATATATTTTAAATTTTTTTGTGCAAATGTGAATCACAGTGTCCTGCACTATTTCACCAACAATGTAAGTCTCATTGCACAGCCCAGTACTTCATGATATACCAATCTTATTTCAGGTTCAGGCATTAGTGAATAAGTCTAGTAAGTGCAGTAAACCCACATTTCCAGGTATTTAAAAATCATGGGGTCATCTGAAACATCCCAAAATTATTAAACAAATCATAGATGCTATATATTTATAAATATTTGGAAGTTGCCACAACTTTGATATTTCCTCAAGAGTTTAAGTAGGCAGGCTATTTTTTTTCAAGCTGGATCCCTCTTTATTTAAAAATAATACCAGATAACTTTTCTAGACTGATAAAATTGAAGCAGTATTTTGCTCCATATTATGCTTTTACATAATTCTTCATGATCAAACTGCCATTAAAAAAAATTCCTGTTTAATATGCAAGATCTACAGTTTAACTATTTCTAACTGATAGACTACTGTGAGTAATCAGTAACACTAGACGTCATTTGGGAAGAAAGATTTGTCATCCTTGCTAGGCCTGGCTTTATGCTAGTCAGGCCTTGCAAAGAGACAGGGTTTGTATCCAGAGCTGATTGCTAGAGAAGGGTTCAAATAATCATTGACATTTTATTTTAAAAGATATCTTCTTCAAATACCGTGGAAAAAAAAAAGTTAAAATTATTCAGTTGTATACTTCATCAATGAACAAATTATTTCATATATGTATATATAAATAAATATATACATAAATAAATTTTAAATTTCAATTCCATCATTGTTTGTGTGTATGTGTTTACACACAGAAAAGGCATGTGTGATTCCAGCTCCCTAAAGAAAGCACAATTTCAAAAAGTCCTGAGGTAGACTCACATGGTGCAATGGACAATCTGACGGAACGTCAGACAGAAATGGGAGTCCAAGGTAAGAATGACTGCATAAGTATTTAAACTTAAAAATGCTTAACGCTTCCTTTTGGTTTACAATGAACCATTCCTTGTATGAACTATGATAAACGCAAGAGTTTTAAGCATTCCAAATTAAAATAATGGGCTTAGAATGGCCATGAGATATTTGCAACAATTTTCTTTGATGAGTGCATGAAAAGGTGCTCATAAAATTCACTGTACTTACGTCCAGTAAGCTATGGGCACTGTCGCTACTCTCTTTGTTTGTTCTACACATGGCCTGGTAGTCATAAAGTGTAATTCTACAGAGAAGAACAGAAAACTGCTTGACTAAAAGGAGAAAACACAGTGGAGTAATCGTGGTGATATGAAACAGTCTGCTCGCAATGTAGACAGGAAAAAAAAGGGAAAAAAAAAGGAAGGGCAGCAGGGAAAAGACAGGAGGGGATTACTAAAATACATGTTGCACAAAGGAGAATAAAGGTGAGAAACTGTTGAAAACTTTGTAAGGATTTTATCAGACTGCAGAACAAAGCAAAAGCGTAACTGTGAGAAAAAAGGGAAGATACACATACAGTGTAACACACAATGAGATAAACAATGTGAGGAAGAGGAGAATACACATTCAACATGATGCTTAAACAATTGGTTCTGGACTGAGATCAGCACATTTAGCCCCAGGAAGTGAAAGAACCTATGCATTTGAGGGGCTTCTCACAACAGACCATTCAAACTCCAGAAAAGACAAAATGTCACTTCTGCAGTTTTAACATCTCTAACATAACGAAGCTGAAATAACAGTGTTGCTTCCAAAGAGAGAAGTGATATTTCAGTGTATTCATGGGACAGACAATAGAGGCAGGTTGGGATTCCTTTTGCATCTTTTCACAAGGGCAAGTATTTCATGTCAGTTACCTCTCGGAATCAACATATGCTAGAAGCCTCCTCAGATGCATAATAAATGGCAGTTTCTTTCTGCTTATGGTTTTACTCATTGACACACTTCAGAGATCTAAATGTAAAATCCAGAACTCAGAGATAGTATATGGTGTTGTGATTATTTCTCTAAATCTGTCCGTCCATAGAACAATTAACAGATTGCATCCATACATAAAAAGAAGTCAACATCAGTAGCAGATGTAAAGAATCTGTAGCTGATAAGTTACAATGAATGTAGATACATGAATGTTACTAGCTTTATTTGAATATATCCATTCGACTTTTGCATCACCAGAGGGACAAGAGAATACAATTGGACATATATGCCTTAAAGGTGTATGAGATGGGACTTCAACATTTTGCAATGTGTGCCTTGCTTCTAAGTGAAGTGGAAAGGAGCACACACAAGTTCAGCTATGGAAGGGATGTCCCAGAAGCTGCCAAAACCAGGTCATGAAATGCATTCAGTACCACCATAAGGCATTCTGCACTGCATGCCATGAAACATAGCAACCTGTACCAACAAAACATTTTAAACTATTATGGCAGAAACTGTATACAATTTCTTCTGATCTAATTTTGTGACAGCAACCATCACTAAAATCTTCTTTACTATACACTATATTTCTTTTTGGCTTACAAGCAAAATATCTGAATATATTGGATCTTGCAGCTTCAGCTAAACATTTAGTACTTAGTCATAGAGCTTACATCATTCATTTCATCTTATTTTCAGAACAGAAATGGCTAGGAAGCCATTGTTTTGTGGACTGGCAGAGAGAGGCACATGGTAGACAAACGCATAACTAGAGACCTAAACATGGGTGTAAGTTGAACACTGACCATCTTTGGCAGAATCACGCCCACAGCCAGATCCGCGCACACAGATCTGCCAAGACAAACAGAGCAGTACAGGGTGTAAGCTGTGCTGCCTGTATGGCATGCAGTAATACACCACTTTCCCTAGCATTTTTTTTTTTTTTTTCCCTTTTAGCCATGGTCAGAATAAAACCCCTGTAAGGTAATCTCTACAGCTTGCCTTTCCAGTCCTGACTTGACTGTTTCATTCCTCTACTGTTAAGAACTCTACTGTATGTCCACATGGACGTGCTAGTGATGGTGGCAAGAGATACGTGTACATACAAGACAGTTTAAGGATTTTAACATGCTCTCTGCAAAGCAGTCAAAGAATTATACTTGGATGATATGGTCTCGTTAATCTTGAGTGCAACAAGTTGAATAGCACTCAACTTTGTCTTCATTCTTTGTAAAAGGTTTCATAATAATTTTGGTGACCTTTCATTTAGTACTGGAAAACACAAACATTTTCTCAACTTTCAGATCATACACTAAAACCACTTGGTCAATCTGTGAACTTTGTTATCCTGTTAAGAAGTGTTAACCAAATGCTATTATTGTGCACCGATATTTTATATTTGGAAAAATGCCTTCTCCCCTCCCCCAGTATTTATGCCTGTTAGTATTACAGTTAAGACAGACAGAATAGTTTCTTCAAATGCTCAAACATGAAAGACTGAAGTTTGTGCTCACACAGATAATCCGAAATATAACTGATACTGTGCCACAACATGCTAGATTTGTGTATTATTGTACTGTACTGCATGGAGTAGACAAAAATCTAGAACTGTATTATGAGTAACTAGAATAAAGATGTTAAAATTTGTGTAGTTAAATAGCACCTCACTTAAAAGGGAAAAAATATTAAAGTTTTGAGTGATAGAGGAGAAGAGCAGTTGTAAGAAAAATGTCAACATCAGTATGGAACACTATAACGTTGTTGTTTGGAAATGCTTGAATGTCATCTACAGGTGATAAAACAAGCTTAGCTGTAGTAAATACATATGAAGGTATTGCCACTGTGAAGATTCTGGTTCAGGAACAAGTTTGCAAAAAAAATTTAAAAAAAGAGAGAGGAAAATTTAAAAAGGGCCAATTTTTAGAAAAGTGCATGACAGATGTAAAAAAAAAAAAGCCTGGAAGAGTTGGAAAGAGTTCTAGTTTTTAACCAAGTATTCCCATGTCAGTAACTTTCAGAGTGGGCAGGTTCAACACCTATCTGAAAGTTTCTAAAGACTACTCAAACTACTGTAATACATAATGTACAAAATATACCTGCCAAAACACTATTGCCAAACGATCTTACAAAGACCTGATTCTTTCGTGCTAAAAACAAAAAGGAATTTTGCACTACACTTCAAAGATCTGTGGATGAAGCCCATAGCCATGTTGAAATCTGAACACTACAACATATTGAATCAATTCTAGACTCTCTGTCTCTGTGAATGGTATTGAAGCTCAGTATAAACGAGTTCCAAGGCATTAACAAATTCAAATACAGTTTTGCTTTGTTTTGTTTTTATACTTGTAATAGTAAGAGCCTTCCAGCCTTATTCCTTGCAAAGGCTACTACAGCATTGGTAGTCAAAACAGTACTCTAAGAGACTGTAGTGCTTCTGTGTTCAGGTGTCATTTCTTGAGTGTTATTTTATTGCTAATGTCTTTGAGATTTTACCAAATAATCTTTCCCTCATTCAGACAGACTTAACTCACTGTTGCAGAAAGAAAGGCTTCCAGATTACCCTTTTTGAAGTGATTGTGTTACAGTTTTAAATAACTGTTTGCAGCTACCCGTATCCTTTTCGACTGACTATACTTAGCGAACATAATTGCTTGCTTCCCACAATCTAATTTTAAACCCATCTAGACGCCCAATTCTATTCTGTGTATTACAGCACTCCACAGAAGAGCTTTGCTAAAGACAACATGACTGGGGCTTTCTAACATACGGATGCTGCTAACTGCCCCCATTCCCACATCTCGTCATTGAAGTCTATGGAGGTTTCAACATCAGACATAGGAGAAACACAAGCTGTGTGCAACTGTCTTGAGCTAGTGGAAGATAACTTTCTCAAAATTAAATGAGGTGTGCAACTTCAGGAGATGAACAGATTTCAGCAAAAAACATTTCAGTGTTAACTTCCAGATATAGCAAATTCCAGCCTTATACTCTGCAACAAGAAAGTGCAAATCCAGTTCAAGAAAATTAAGACCTGCCAGCAGTACAGGCTATACCAACAGATGTATTCTATTGCTTCCAGCTAGATTTTCAGCATACCTATGGATTTCTAGGTGGCAGTGTGAAATATCATCACTGATAACAGCTGAAGAATTTTCAAGGCAAACATTTCAAATACCTTGTCATCAGTTCAAGATAGTTGGGGATTTTCAAATAATTTATAAGAATAATACACTTCTTATGTTATAAACATAAGAAACGAAGTGCAGAAAACAAGCATAGGAAGCCCATGATAAAAGAGGTCCTAATTTTTTTATGCTGCTGTTTCCCAGTGGTCTATGTGAGAATTAACAGTGACTAAAGCTTACTTCTGGTTGTAAGGTGTTCATTAATCCAGACACAAGACGTATAGCCTGCCTCATACTCTTGCAAGGAGGAGAAGGAGGGACAGTATGGAATGTTGTGAAGCATAAGTCTATGTCTTAAGACTAGAGAGGGTCCCTGTTGGGAGATAGCAGCACAGCATATGAAGTTATATACTGTTTCTTTTCTGGCTCTCCTTTCATTTACAAATCATTAATATCCAGAAGCAGTCAAACTAATATTTTTCATCACCAAGGAAAAAAAAAAAAAAAAAGCTTAAAAATAAATCAGAGCATTTTGAGAAAATGAACTTGTCATCAAATACCTTTGCTTTGAATTCAGCTATTCCTAGTTGCCAAAGTGCTCCAGAGCATAAAATGTATAAAACCCATAACTCAGTCTGCATTTTCAGCTTACAGAATGACAATTCATTTACATTGCACAAGTCTGAGTTTCTCCTTAGGTGGGTAAAAGGATCCCAAAATACTAATTCTCTCCATGAAATTAGTAGCAATATTTACAGAGATGTAAATTCAAATTACACCCAAACTGTTTTGAGACATTAATTTTAGATGTCACAAGGACAAGATAGGAGTGGAAAACATCCACACAGCAAGAGGAGAGTTTTAGAGCACGAGTACAAGATGTACATCTGGCAAATGTGAAAAAAAATCAGGTCTAGTTCCTTGTCATTGGTGATGACAAGAGGGCAGTGAAGTATGTTATTTTGTACTTACAAGCAGCATGCAGCTAGGAACAAGGTCTGTTTGTAACCCTGCACTAGACAGTCTGCTGTATTATTCTCTTTGACAGCTATTTCATTGATAAAAATGAAAAGTCACTCTTCAGAGTAGGATAATTACATATTATTCATCTAGAAATTGAAGAATCAGTGTGTATGCTTAATAAATACTCTGTAGTGCAGATGTAGTGCAGTTAATACAGGAGATGATAATAATGTTTGAGAGGAAATAAATTGCGAAGCTCATTAGTTTTTTTTACCAGGACATATAGCGAAATGACAGTTTTAAGCTGTAAGAGGGTAGACTTAAATTGCATATAAAGAAGAAATTTTTCATGATGAGTGAGCTGAGACACTGGAACAGGTCCCCCAGAGAAGCTGTAGGTGTCTTATCACTGGAAATGTTCAAAGTCAGGTTGGATGGTCTTTGAGCAATCTGACCTAGAGGAAGATGTCTGCACCCATGTCAGAAGGGTAGCACTACAAGAGCTTCAAAGGTTTCTTTCAATCTAAATCATTCTGTGATTCTAGTATTTATGCCCTAAACATGGGGTATATCTTGAGCTCACTTTTACAAAATAAATTACTACTAAAGATAGAATCTTTATAATTGACATTTATCCAATAACAGATTCAGTAAACCCTTCTGGAATTGTTCCTTTACCCTAGTACTGATCTTCTCCAAAGTGAAAATAAATACAATTTATAAATACAGCAGTGTCATATTCACACAATTTCAAGAATATTTAATTGAATCAAATGCTTAAATAAGACAAAGTAGCCTAAACTAAACAGAAGAATATCCTTCATTTGGAGACTGCGCTGCCTCAGTGGGAATTAGCAACCTGATCAAACAGTTTCTGTTTTCATAATTTGGCTTTAGAAATGTTTTGCTCTCTTGGAGTGGCTTAGCAAAGGGTTTTGAATTTTTGTATACTCTTATAACCCAGAGGCAAAACACTTGTTAAGTTTGGAGTATGAAGTGAGTCAAGTCAGGGAGATGAAAGTCGGCCCCTATGTAAGTGCATTTAGAGAACACAGGTGAAGGAACTGGACTGCACTGTGCCGTAAGGGCATAAACAGTATGCATTATTCACTAGGAAACATGTGAGTAAAGATAAAGGAACAAAGGATGAAAAAGGAAGAAACCAGGGAAGCTCTCAGAGCAACAAGAGCTTATTAGAGTGAGCCGTAGCATCTGGAAAAGCTGGAACTTGAGGATGCACTATTTCTGTCAACTATCCTAACACCACGAGACACCAAAACACAGATTTCTCCTGGTGGAAGCAAAACTGTTAAGAGGAAATAATTCTGCTTCCATATTTGTCTTACGGAATTGATTGGGTTTCTCTGTATTGGAAAGTACCAAGCTGCTTTCAAGTCAAGAGATTAAATTTTCTAGAACAGATTTACTAAACTCATTTATTTGGCAATCTCATTACTTTGATGGCTCTTGATTTTCTGAATGTTATTGTTTTTCTTTATATTTTTATGCTTTGAGCCATCATTTTCCCCCCCACTGTTTTTACATAAGCAGAGTATTGAGGAATCAATAAAGACACATTTTTTTTCTGTTATGTGAAGCAGATACTTTTCCATAAGCACATCTTAATTTATTTAATAATGAATTTAAATCATGTTTTAACTAATTGTATGCAATATTCAGGGTATAAGGTAAACATTATTTTGCTAAAAGAAATCACGGAACGTCACGTTGCTGTGGAGACACTGATACCATTTTTTCCTCTAAATATAAAATCCATAAACTAAGAAAATATACACACGTATATACATAAATAGAATTCAAAAGAAGTACTGAGTTTAAAGAAATTAGGGAGGGAAGGAGGTATTTAAGTTCACTTTAAAAAATAAACAGCTAACACAAAAATTGAATTTCATCCTGCTGCAGGTTGAAAAGAAACACAGTCAGGAGCAAACAACCCCCTTTTGTTTAACACCTCCAGCTCAATCCTGAAAAGAACTTCTCTATCCCTCCGAATGAGTGGTAGTTGAGTGAACTCACAAAGGGTTATTTCATTCCTTTTGTGGCCAGAGAGCCTGAAAGCCGGTATGAATCTGCGAGGCAGCAGCACGTATCTGCACTCCTACTCAGCTTATTGGTAGCAAAGGAAGAGGGCTCCCATCCCCACAGTTATGTGGCATGTCAGGAAACTCTTCTGCAGAGAAGATCAGGCACTGTGGAACCTTCTACCTCTAAAACAAATGAAAAAGGGGCAAGACGAGACCTGAGAGGGCAATGTTAGGTTTACTTCAGCTGTTGGTTGGTAGATTTCGTATTAGAAATAAGTTGCATGGAAGGACGGGCTCAGGAATGAATGGCTAAGATCAGAGCTTGGTCTCTCATTTTGCCTTCATGCTAAGAGCAGCATTGACACAGATAATGCAATGTATATCTTGTTGTGCCCTCAAGATAATATATTTTGCCACTGCACCATTCTACTTTTTATCTCTTCTCTTATTCCATAAGATAAATAAATACTGGAAAAACAACTTCCCTCAATTAATAACCTTAAAAATTCAGTACATGTGCCTGAGTTATTCATTAGAGGTAGCAAATATTTTTCATTCAAGTTAGTGGAATAATTTATTTTAAAGATCTCATCCAGCACAGCTCGAAGACATTTTGTTTTCTGTTGCTGCACTGAGCTATCTGCTGTACAGCAGGAAAAGCAGGTGGCTCATTTAGAGCAATTACACCACTTTGATTCTCTCCCGTTTTTAACTGATTGGCAACGACCAGTTTATTGTTCTTAAATAATTGGCTCATCGTGTTTTCGTTTCTTTAGCTTGCAGCTCTGTTTCATGGAGCTAGTGGTTTCATTATCTGTAACTCCCTCATAGCTACGGACTAGAAATATCCTGAGCCAATGATCCACTTCAAATTGCTGCCCACCACAGCCTAGGTAGAATACTCAAGAAGCGTAACCTTTGTTTTCTCAGTTGAGGTGCTCACCACCATCAATTGTTCAGTAGATACACTGTTTGAAAGGCTTTCTAGGCAGGACGAAAAAAAAAAGGGGGGGGAGGGGGGACTAATTATAGCTTTATCCTTTGATTTTAGCTGCACTTTTTTTTTTTGTTTGCATTAAATAAAATTCTTCAGCTTTTGTATAAACAGATCTTTCCATTGTAGAGCTCATTCTATAAATAGGTATTACTTCACTTCCTTTTATAGCACATGTTAAGAATGTAATGCTAAACACATAAAGGTTGCCACCCTCAAAGAATGAGGATGTAGGATGATTTAGTGAGCGCTAGATCTTTCTATTTCAGGTCAGTCATTTACTGCGAGTGTTATTCAGCTATAACGCACTGAGTAAAAGCTTTCTGCCTACAATACACATGGAAAGCTTTCTGCCTTTAAGACAGCTGCTTTACCCAGGAAACACAAAAGCCATCTGTTTTGAAAGCCTCTGTGTACACCCTGCATGCAGTAACTAAATTCAGTGGTTGATGGGAACAGCGATGTGTCATTTTTTTAATGCTAGAAATGTGCAGTAAGAGAAAAGTGAAAAGGGCTATGCACGTGGACTGCACTTCTCTCATGCTCTTGCATGAGTTGGAAGGGGACAAAGGGATAAGGAGCAGTTCTCAGGATGTGTGAAAGCCATGAAGACTTTGGTGCTGAGTTACAAGGAAAAGTTTTCTTACTTTTCCAGGATGCTTAATTTATTTCAAAGGACAACACATCAAATCACCATTAGTTATACTGTCATGATGATAGCAAGATTAAGTCAATAGTCACAGAAATGTTCAAAGGTCAGTTAACATATGAGGTGAAGAATTACTGGCAGAACACTTTTAGAACAATAGGGCATCATTCACTATGTGATTTGAGCAATCTCCAACTTTTTACGGGTCAAGATGTTTAATGCTTCATCAGTGATTTGCTCTAGAGCTATTCAGAACTGTTCAGTAGTAGATATGGTCTAATCTCATTTCCACTTGAGCACAGTGGGAACAGGAGAGGCACAAGGTTCTAGCATCACAGTCCAATAAAAAAGGAACTCCCTGTTGACTGTCTCCAGAACGTTTAATGAAATGTGTATGGTAACAAGTTATCATACAGAATACAGAAAAAAAAGGCATAATGAGAATCCAGCCAAGCTGTCCATTTTGGCCTTTCTTTATATGACTTTGGTTTTGTTTTATTTTGTTGGGTTTTTTTTTTGAAACATTTTGTAAGAGATAAAACACTGATGTAATTCTTACCTCTTAAAGGAGCCCATTGTTAGTAATTTGTTCATCACAGCCCCTTCAATCTCCCCAAAAAAGTTACCAGTCTGCAAGGGAAAAATACAAAAAAATTACCAGATGTAGAAAAATGCAAAACAAAAATGGATATAATTTAAACTGGCATATTCTATGATCTGACAAGAGTCGGTTTGACAGCTACATAGATAGGTTTTCATGACTATTGCTACATAAAAACTGAAGAGGACTTCATAGTCATGGCAAGTTATACAGACTAAATTATTACCCTTGAGCAGATGTGAGAGCTTATACAATAGATTGAGGGACATTATATAACATCTAATACCGGAAATACAAGCCATCCCAACCTAAAGCTTACAAAGGAAACACATTAATCTGATCACAAACCCTTGTGATTAAAATGTTACTCAGAAAGATATAAACAGGTTGTGAGAGGATTTAATAAGCGGTCATAAAAAAGCATTGTTTATAATTCCTGCATGACCTGTTTAAGGAACCAGGACAGTACATTTCATCAGTCCTAGAAATTTTAACTTCATTCAAAGTCATTTTATACTTAAAACCACTCAGCCTGATGAATTACTCATTTTATCCTTGTTCAGTAGATGTGGACTAATAAAAATAAATCTCTTTTGAGAAAGCAAACATTCACATTATGAATTCGGTATGCAACATGGAAGTGACTCCATTTTCTGTAGCCATTCATATGGAATTCAAAAATCTTGTATGTACAGCATTTTTTTTTTTTCTAGGTTGGGAAGACATTTTCTCATCTGAGGACCCCAACTCCCATAAGGATCGGATAAGTTCTCCATCGTGTTTAAAGGGAGAAATCCCACAATTTATTGGTGGAAAGGGCACTACACTCTCAAATTGCACAAATTCCATAGGTTTTGTATGAACTAAACGCCAATTCCATTACAAGGAACTTACTTGACCTCAAGTATGCACCTGGGAGTTTGCAGGCAGAGAAGTTACAGTCCAAGCCAAGAAAATGCATTCCTCTACCTAAAAAGCAAGTATTGCCTTTTTTTCTTTTTTTAAACTCAGGGGAAACTTGGAACATTTTCCAAAACACATGGGTGTGCAAAATCTCCTAGAAACAAGAGGAACATTTGTAGTTTATATGACTAAAAATACTAGCTTCAATAGCGCTGGTTGACTGATGAAGAAAGATTATCCTAACTATGGGAGAGGCAGTCAGCTAATGTCAAAAAGCCCAAACCATAAATGACTATATAACCTTAGATAGCAATAAACATGATTTATTAAGTTATGCTTCAGTCTTATGAAGACATTTCAGTGACAGTTCTTTCCACAAAAGCTCCATTTGTAAATGCTAGTTCTCCCCAAAGTAGTAACACCCAAACAATTGTTATTTTTTAATATATTTGGATTTAGTGGTAACTCAGATGAAGAATTACAGTGCCCCAGGACAAGACTTTTAGAGTGGTTCAGGCCATTTCTGGCAAGTCCAAAGAAAAACAGCACTGAAATAAGCCCAGAAAGGTGAGTAACTGAAAAGGCATCATCCCACTTCCCTATTCCTTCCTTCCTCAACAAAGAAAGAGTGTGTACATACATATATATAGATATATGTGTGTAAAAAGCATAGAATGTAATTATCATACTATTAACTTCAGTGTTACATCAACAAAACTCACCACCTGTGGCTTAGATCTGTCCTAAATAATGGTTGAGTTTAACAGCAGTTAAGTAGCTAAATATTTGAAGGAGCTACCAGTGCTGGATATGGCAGAAGAGGAATTAGCACCTTATGCCATGATATGGCAGAAAGGTTTTCTCCCTATATATGTACATCAGGAGGCAGTGACATAGGAACAAGATTCCATAAATCATGCCAGTAGGGTTCTTGAAAAATCTGCATTTTATCACCTGTTTCCTGACATTCTGTCAGCAGTGTATGATTCTCAGATACTTTCCTTCTTTCCCAGAAAGCAGATACGCTAGTTTGGCTTTTAGACTCACATACATTTTTGATGCTTTACCAGTAGCAACTTGAAATCTAAGTCATTAAACATGTCTAGCCTAATGTTTGCCCAGCATCTGTCCATAATAGGTTCTTCAAGGGAATGTACCAGCTAGTATCAGATGACCTACCAAAGGAAAATGTTTTCCTAATCATATTTATTGGTTGTAGCCAACTACCAGCTAGCAAATGAGGTACAAAAATACTGTATGCAATTGTATACACACTTGCACACAATAATCTGGGAAAATAACCAGATTAAAAGTTTTCAGTGCATCCAGATTATTCTACAATGAGTGTTACTCTTTGGCTTAACTAAGTAAAAATACGTACTTAATAGGTAGAGAAAAAAAACACCACCACCACCACCACTGTTTCTAACATAACATTTAAATAACATTTAAATAACATCATATTTTGGTTCATGTAATTTTATGGGTCCGTCTTGGAATTATATTCACAACATGCTTGACATTCCAAAACGATAAAGCAATGTATGTAATAAAGTAAAACAAAATATTAAATTTCAGTCCTTGGTTTTGCATGAAGACAACATATTGTGAAGAATGATTACTTCAAAGCACAGCACATTATCTGTTGAGCAGTTAATGCTCTAGTATAGTATAGGAAGAACAAATGTTTCAGAAGTTTGCTTCCCTTGTTTACTACTTGCTAACACACTTTTCAAAGCATCAACCAAAATGGAACGAGGTACAGAGGGACACTGAGGAAATGTTATCCAGCTACTTCAGAGCTATGAAAAAAAATCTGTACCTTTTTACTTTGAGAAATGTTAGATTTAAAGTTGATGTATTTCATGTTTTAAATCTAAAAGCAAAATGCAGTTTGGCTTCTTTTTCACCATCCATTTAGAGGTTTGTTTTTTTGTAGCTCTCCTCTCAACTCACTCTTCTAAGTCACCCAGAGCTCTTTATGATAGCTATGTTTCTCAGTAACCAACTTCGTCACAACAAATTTAATTCACCTAAGGGCTAAGTAAGAATATGTGTAAATCCTATTCAGAGTATCAACACATAAAAGAAATTCAACTTCAGAAAACTCTGGCATAACTGGGGCACCATCCCAACTATTTCCAGGCAAAGTTAATGAAGACAGTGGTGGGTTCTTCATAAAGCTCACTGAATGGAACTGCTATACATTCTTTCCAAGAAGCAGAGCAAATCAATGTTTTGAATGGTCTCCGTGAATCATGATCCTTGTCCTATATATTATCGTGCTTAGTTTTTATCCACCAGTAACTGTAATGTACTCAGAAAGTAAATTCAACAAACAGCTGCATATCATTTAATTATCTGAAGTTTAAATATGAGAGTTCTACATCCCCAGCCTCCTCACTCTCTTCTCACACTTTACTGGTGGCAAAATTCCACAGAGACTCTTTGTACTGGGGGTAAAAAGGTCTTATGGAAGGCAGACCTTCTTGCAGCAAAAAAAAAGCCCTCTGAAGGAACGTTTAGGAGTTTAAGAGCAGAACCCATACCAGTGGGAGATAGAAACTGAGCTTCTGTCACATTTTATTGATGGAAGTTTTCAGTGTTATGCTACTAGTTACTTAACGTTTTAAGACAGTGACCTATTTAAGAATAACAATTACATAAATGTGCTACATGAGAGGGCTGAATAAAAATCTTTCACTTACCTGCCCATAGTCTTCAGACACTAGGATAAATCCATTGTTGTCTATTAGGTAACAGTTGATTGCCTGAAAAAGTAATACCATCATTCAGTTCTAACGTTAGTTTTGGGATGCAGTAATGTTATTTCATTTACTTCCAAATGACATTCTAAACAAATAAAGCCATCAGGTCCTTCTAATGGCTAACCTAACTTCTAAGTTTCCACCAATAGGATGCTATCTGATCTAGATTTTTATGCATATAGTTCATGCAAAACAAAAAGATGTATATAGAAAGAGAGGATGTAAGATAAACTGTAAACAAATATAAAAAGAACAGGGTCATTGTTTTTTTTTTTAATTCATTCTTAAAAATAATTCCTTGTAACAAAGTTGCAAAGGCACAGAGCTGCTACTATTGATTGCTTGTCCTGTGTTGGGAGAAAAACATCAGCACAATGTCATTACCCTAATGATGTATTAATGAAAACACAGTGTCTGCCTGGAGGACTAACAGGGGACCAGGTAATATTTTTTAATTTGGTCAGTGGGGGAGGGAACCAGAAACTTCTGCATAAGAGGCCCCACAGGTCTCCTAAAGCTTTTCAAATTGTGTTTTTAATTGGGAACTGGATCCAGAGGTAAGACTGTTAGCATTTCGTAGGTCAGACTTATAACTTGTATATAGCAAGATAAACTGAAATCAGTGCTTCCCTCTATACATTCATACTCTATTTTAACCTCAAGTGAGTTATTTGCTACAGGCAAAGTTTTAATTACTGTGCTTCGGAGTTTAAGCATAAGGTACAACTCAAACCATGATATAACTCAGTTTCTCTTCATCATTGCCAAAAACCTACCTCAGTGTTAAATCTATAACATATTTCTATCATTGGTCTAAATCAGCTAATGTTTCTAGTGACATCTTTGTTTAAAAAAAAAAAAAAAAAAAAAAGAAAAAAGAAAAAAAAAAAGTAGGATGGCTTCCAACACAGAAATCATCATGGCTTTGCTTTTAATTCAAAACCTTTCCTGCTGAGAAGAGGCTGAACAGAAAGATGGTGAAATGTGTTACTCTCTGTGCATGCAGTAAAATCTCTTTGCAGTTTTTGAAAGAAAAGCGTGGGTGATCCTGCAGCAGCACTTGTACAATTTGATTTTTCAAAATTTCTGGGTGAGTCTGACTCTGACTCTGTTCCATGTGTTGTTTCTGTTCTATGGGACTTCAGAAGGAATTTACAGAATTGTTTTAAAGAAATGTTGGCAGGAATTTAAGTTGTTTTGTTTGTTTGTTTGTTTTTGTTTGAGCTTTTGTTGTGTTGGTGTTTTTAAAGGAAAAAAAATATTAAAAGAAACTCAAACCAGGCAAAAGTTTGAAAAGAATGTAATTCCCTAACACAAGTGTAGGATATGCGTTCTAATAGGGGAACGTAAGCTTCACACCACCCCAGTGGCAGAAAACCTGTCAAAAAGGAAGTCTGAAACAACTAATTTCCAACCTTTGATCTGCCAGAAAACCAAAAATTGGCAAATGCAACCTGAAAAGCTGATGACACTGGCAAAGATCTGAGTAGTGCTAATGCATTCAGAAGAGGCAACTACTTAACCTCAGTGGTGTATGAAGAGTGGAATTTCAGAAGTAGACTGTAACTCCAGAACACATCTATCCCCTAAGTAAACCATAAACCTCCCACGAACTTTATAGGAGAGGAACTAAGTCAACAAAGACCTCTTTCAAGGATACATATTTGCGGTTGTCTTTGGATGAAAGATTAATCCAAAGACAGAGCATTAGAAATAGTATTTCTGCGCAGCATGGAAAATGTTGAAGAGTAGTTACACTGGACAGGAGAGCGTGGACATCATTTCATAGCTCATGGATTATGTTCAACTGGAAAACCACTGTCCTGACAAAAGAATTAGTAATCATGTATTGAATCTCTATGCCATAGTCATGCAATTAGTATTTTCCAAAATTCAAAATTATATTAACAACATAGGATTGCTATTTCATATGGGCAGTTGGAAGAATTTGCATTTTGCTGTGTGAAGATAATAGGGTTTCTACTTCTACCCATTTTAGAAACTGAGAAATTTAGGCCATTCATTCATCTACCCACCAGCAAGATAAATATCTTTTGCTATCCAGTACTGCATTAAAGAATCATTTTCAGATGAAACTTAGCACTGACAAAGCACAGTAGGGTGCATTTACTTTCAGCAAATCTGAAACAGAAAATGTCAAATGCAAAATTAATGCATAGGATAATAACATTTGCATAGACTAGAGCTGTATGAAAAAGGCTTAATTCACAATGGCTCACAGGTGTTGGAAGTGAACTATGCACAGGTTTGCCCAAAGGTTCAAGTTCAGTGAACTTGAGATTTCAAGGGAATGTTCCGCAGGTAGAGAGTCCCTGAGCTTGTAAAATACAGCAGGCATGAAGTCCAGAATAAACACACCAAGAATGTTGACTGAGGTCTAAGAACACATTTGGAGCACAGTAACTTTGATCAAGTTCAAGTCCTCTATGTATTTGTCACAGCTCCAATATATAACAGTAATGGAATGTTATATGGGTTACAAAACTAAATATGAAAAAGAAAGAAAACAAAAAACTAAAATAAAATGTGAGGCACTTGGAAAACAAGAAAAAAAAAAAAAAAAAAAAAAAAAAGAGCAAATCCAAAGCTGGAAAAAGAATAGAAAAAAAAATATTTCTGAGGAATTGCAAATCTGTCATGCTACTGTATTTTACAATGAAAATTATTACAAGGACTCGTCAGCTAGTTTCATGTGAATATTGTGCCTATCTATTTCTATTAATTTCATTTCTTACTACTTCTAAGTGCTTTAATTTGTTTAGTAATTGCTCAGCAGAGATTTTCTTACTGTTGAGATAAGGCAGCTTTGAAATATTAAAGAATACCTATAATATTTGACTGAGTCAGATTAATAATATGTTTTGTCATTACAAAAATAAAATACAATAAAATATAAAATAAAATTCAATAAAAATCTTGAAACATCTACATTACCTAGTTTCACACTATTACTGAATTTCTCCCTTTGCTTATGTGGCTCCTGCTGGTGTCAAGTGAAAATAGCTGAATAGCTGAATAGCTTTTAAAAGGACTGTGCTTTCTTTGCATACCAAAGGAAGTTCTGCATGAATACTCAGCAAAGTATACCTATTTTTACTAACTAGACAAAGGAATAAAAAGAAAAAAGTGGATTATTTTTAGAATGTTGAAATCTTTTTTACTTTATTCTTGGTTCTTTGTCATGACGTACTAAAAATACTTCTCCAGTCATGATAATATCCTTAAGTTCCTGTTTTGATGAAGCAGCTAAACATGTTGCTGAGAGAATGCCTTACACAAGAAAGTGTGTACAACTACTCTGGTACAAATGGACTAAGGTCTATTTCATGCCAAAGATGGCATGATTGTCATAGTTCTGTGTTTGGCTTACTGCAAAATTTTCCAATTATTTCTTGTTATTTCTGACTTCCAACTGTTAGAGGTTCTAGTATATGAGGTATGCTGATTTGATCAGTGCTCAACTTCTGCAATTGCTGATGTCTCAACTTTCACCTTCATCCCTGGAATGGTTTTTGTGAATTTCATATCATGGAATCATAGAATCCTTAGAGTTGGAAGGAACTTCTGAGGGCATCTAGTCCAACTCCCATGCAATGAACAGGGACACCACAGCTAGATCAGGTTATCCAGGGCCTTATCCAGCCTTGCTTTGAAAGTCTCTGAGAAAATTGAATTTACAAATATATGTCCTGGACTCGTTTTTCAATAAAACACATTTCAGCATCAGAGTATTTGGAGTTATGAAGTAGAATCCTACCAGTGAAATTTCTAATACAGATTATGCATAATTTAAACTTTTTAGACATGAATTTTCACCAAACGAATCCAAAAATTAAAATTGTTTGCCTTGTATATATATATATATATAGAGAGAGAGAGAGAGAGAGAGAGAGAAAGTAATAATAGCAAATGTCAGAAAGAGCTCCTCAAATACATTTGTGAACATTTTTGACCATAGGAGTTATTTCACTTCATGTAAATATATTTGTCATCACTAATTTTTTTTATGTGCTAAACATCCATGAATAAATTTAGTGCTAGACAACATACTCCCAATGAATCTACTATGGAATAGGTAGGAGTGCAGTCAAGACACTGGTAGAGGTGGAAAATGCTGTGATTTTAGGAAAAATACATTAATATAGGACATGCAGCATCTCTGCAGAAAGAATGGAAAGTCTCATTCAAATGCTAAAATAGTCAGGAAGAGATTGTTACGTAGATACTAGAAGTCAGATAAGAAGCGACAGCAGAAAAAGGGAGAAAATAAAGACTTACGGAATAATACAAATAATACATTGTGGTACCTATTTTAATAATTAATGACAGAAACTTGTGAGAACTTCAAGATCTTTGGAAGAAACAGCTTCAAGAGAAGAGATGAGGGACTGTTTAAGCATCAGTTTGCAGAGCAGTATTTCAGTTTGCTAGACACGTACTGTATGTAGCGCTTTGTTGAGAAGGATGTAAGTGGCAGCAGAAACTGAGGCTGCACTGACTGCTCACATCTGGTGATACTAAGAGCAGCTGGCCTGAAAACAACTGAGCATGTATAAAACAAAACAGAATAAAACTGTATAAAACTTTACAGTTGTATAAAAAATGTTATTCTATGTTAAAAAAGATTGTAAAAAATATTACATCAGCACAAATTACAGAGGCAAACAGACGCTTTTTACATGTGTTTTGCAATAGTTCTTTAGGGCACGTATAAAAAGAGGATGTCTTATTCATCTGATTATCTCCTGTGGTTCTAGAATTACTAGAATCATCATTTTTCAGGGTAGTGCTTCTGAGTTATACAACTACAGCCTGCAGTTTTTATTTCTAGTCCTACAAATTAAGGTTTCATCATACCTAAATAAATGTATTTTGTTCTAGCACAGCTATCTGGTGATCCCGGTCTCCTCCACCATTGCTTAGTTTGGAGATCACACAGGGCTGTCATCAGTAAAAGTTTATGGGTTGTTTTTTTTTTCCAAAATACCAATAAGAACTGTATATGATACAATAACAAAAATGCAAACCTGATTTTCTATGATCTCATGCATCTAACTCCTCCACACATATAAATGCAGCTTGTGCTTTGTTAACCTCTTTTTGATTCATTTAACTTTTGATAAATTGCTTAATCAAAAGATCATATAGTCGGATATCATATGCTTTGCAAAAATCTATGCATAAGATACCTAATATATTATTTTCATTTACCAAAGTTTACCAAAATACACATTACTTAAACAACCACTTTGGTGCGTTAATTAAGAACTACTGACTCAGACTACTTCTTTCCTATTTCTGAAATGCTATTTTTTTATCCATTCTGCATAGGCTCAACTTAAAGTTCATGTTTTATACTAGCGTGAATATTAGATTAGCTTCTACCTCAGGTGAACAATAAAGAAGATAAAAATACACCTTTGAGAATCTTCATGTGACTTCCAAAACTGGATTCCTGAGCAGAATCTATTGCAATGCATACTTCAGGTATCGCTGTCAATCTCATAAATAAATGGATGTTCACAAGGAATTATAAAATGAGTTTCACTATATAAATTGCATAATAATTAGAAGGCAATTCCTAATTACATCAGAAATTGTCTGAACCTCTCACTATACATATAATCAAGTTCATGCTCTACTGCAATGGAAACATAAATGGAAAATAAAGAGCTGTTAAATACTTACTTCATCATCACAACTTATTGCACATCTGCCATCAAGAGATGCACACTAGAGACAATATTAAAAATAAATATTTTCAATTCCAGATTGATGATTATGAAAAATGACAGTTTCAGAAATAAGGTGAGTGCTATTATAATGATGTTGAAATTGATTACATTTTTATCAAAGGCCCCAGTTGTTCTAAAAGCAAGAGAAGGAAAGTTTTATATCTGTTCACCAATCTTTTTCTGCTCCTGTCTGCACTCACACTGTATCACTTTCAAGTGTTTTAAACATCATCATCTCCTTTTTGTTAGAAGCTTGGAAATTATTTATCAGTAAGAATACAAGGTTTTCTAATTGGGGTGTGGGAGGAGGAAGGGAGGGGTTGGACATGCATTTTAGGAGATGTTCTCTGGAATCCTGAGGAAGTGTATGATTGTGTATGTTTACTCCCTTCACTGAATACACATGCTATATATCCTAAACATCTTAGCGATAGTTTATCAAATACTATAGATGCCAAGCATAATTCAGTCACGTCGTTTAGTTGATTGATTTAGGTGATGCTGCAATTAACCCAATGTCAGAAGAAAGGTACTAGGTTTGCAAGAAGGTTCAATTCTGCTATTACTGAAAATGAATAGGTATCACAGCTTGGTCTGCTGCTTTCCTTTTATCTGAAGGAGAAAATTAACATGTGTCAGATCAACAAAGCAACTCCTTATATATAACAACTTTTTTCTTTGTTTCCATAAATATGGAATCAAGCATACTGAACATCCTTTTCATCTGCAATTAACTAGAAGGTTATAATATAGTGTAACAACTTATGTGAGGTATATTTCAAATAAAATGCTTTACAGCAATTTTGTGACAAAGTAATTGTGGATCAACTACACAGCTAGAAAGATGTTGTGAATTCAATGACAAGGAAAATTTCCATTTAAAACATACCTGTCTGCTTGCTGTCCAAAATTTACGCTGGAAAAATTCAAGTTTCATCTGTATACCTACAGCTGGGAAATACATAAATAAAAACAGTATGTTATATAATTGCTTCAAAACTATGATTTGAAATAAATCAAAAGCAGAAATAGTCCTATAATAAAGAGGGAAAGAAAGTCCCATAATAAAAAGACACTAGTGATTAAATAGGAGAGCACATAATTATATTTCAAATATTACTAATACAATGTGACAATTACACAAGGAAAACACTGAAATTACAGACATCTCCATATTACTCAAAAGAAGCACAAGCTGAAGATATTTATGTTCAAACCTATCTCAAATTAATATTCTACTGATGGTAATACAACAGCTGTAGGAACACACTCTCAGCTCTACGTGCTGAAACACACAAACGTGCTAAAACAACAGGAGACTGTTGGTTAATATTTCAAGTGATCATGTATAGGAAACTTGAACAAAATTTCATTTTCTCATTTCTTATATTGGATCCACACTAAGAATCATAAGAAAACCTATTTACCTTTTTATCATCGGTAATTGTTTTTTTTGCAAATATAAACATGCTGATGTCATGAACATATTTTTCTTCTGTCTTAGCAGGCAGGAAAAGGTATGTGCATAGCGGGTTATAAATAGTTTTTTACTATCAATAACTCATTGACGTCTTTGCTTAACAGAGTAAGGACAGAAATCCATCTCTTCTTTAGAATGAAATCCAGAAGAAACTCTCTCCAACTGCATTTTATTGTCTAGTAATTTATTTTACAGTCAATGAGGAGATGCTGTCTGACAGCCATGCAACACATGTTTTCTACATCTGTTCTTTGCCTTTAGGTTTACTCCTAGTATGCAGGTGATCTGCACATCTCATTCCTTTTTCTGAAATGGAGGAAATGCATACTCTCAGGAAGTTTCCACAAATACATCTCAAACACAGAAATATCTGCTATACCAGTATTTGAAATTTCAATCTCACGTCTTACACTTGTAGACATGCATTTCAGCATGTATGAGTCAATGTAAAGACATCAGCTTGTATTTCCTAGATTTCATCAAGTGCAGTCTATGTCTTGTTTTACACACGTGAACATTTCTTTTCGAATCATTGAAGAAACTGCATGATCAACAGATGCAGAAGTAGGTATCACGCTGATTCAAAACCTAGACTTACCTTGAGCAGTCAAAGCCTCAAACTTGTAAAGAAATCATTAAAATATCATTTCTCATGTAATTAAATTGCATGTATATGTAACCTTATGCAGGAGTTTGGACGTCAGGAGAATCCTCCCAATCTGAACTATTTTATGATTCTTAGAATAAAGTCTAAAATGTGAAGAGAAAAGCTAACTACGTAGTCTAGACTCTTAAATAAAACAAATGTGTTCTAAAGGTCTTCCAGTGACCAGTGTAAATTTCATACCACCAGACAAATTCTGAAAAGAAACAAGATATTTACAAGAAAGCTCATCTGTAAAACATTCCATACGAATGTTTTAATCAGTTGCATGATGGAATGCTGTAGCACAAAGACAGCTGAAGTCCTTGGACTAATTTCTGTGAAATGTAGAGCATCCTTCTTCATGAGAATGAGAGGACACAGACAGTTACAGCTTTACTTTCACAAAATTAGCTCTATGAATTTTGATACTTAGGGAAACTATGATGAGATATAAGAGACCAGGAATGAATACTGAACTCGCTCACTCTCAAGCAAACACACTCTCAAGAGTAATGTAGTTATTGTAGAAAGGGAGACCAGACTTTACCAGTTACTGCCTTCCTTCCTTCCTTTTTCAAGATTGATTCCATTTATTTCCATACCTAACTTCTAGAAGAGCTCTATCATCTATCTCTCAGGTACAATATCACTGAATGAAGTAAACTTCAAAATTAAAACTTTTGCCTGCTCTGCTCAAGGTCATTCAGTCACAGTGGCAACTTTCTGAGTATAACACACAACAAAATATGTATTTCCCATATGATAGATTTGCAATCCTTGTAATTGTTTGGGTTTTTGTTTGTTTGTTTGTTTGTTTTTGGTTGTTTTTTTTTAATGAACAGCTACATGATTTGTACCTATGTTTCAAGATTGGAGGAGAAAACATATCTCCCATATACACTGTACAGTGAAGACAGCATTAGGGATTTGCTTTGAATAGGGGTGTCTTGCTGTGAGATTTTCATCTCACCATTGTTTTACCTTTTTTTTTTTTCCCTTCATGAAAAATATGACATCACAACTTTCATGTCACTGAATAACTTCTATATTTCTTATGTGACATATAATAAATGACATTTATTTTTCTGTAACTCAGTTAGTAAGTATAGGATTAACCTTTATTTAAAAGAATTAACATCTCTATTCTACTTTTTTTTTTTACATATTCTCTACATTTTTTTCAATTCCTAAGGTGATACTAAAGCATCTTCACATGCTTTCCTCTGAGCTTTTCCAGTGCAGGATATTTTTGGTTTCAGAACCAATATGTTCTTATGAATAATCTCTAGTTCATCAGCATTCAGAACTTCAGAACAAAGTATTTGTGCTGGCATTTATTTTTGTATTTAAATTTATGTTTTATAAGCTGGCTACACGTTCAGCTAATGGGAGCTACCAGAGAGGCATGAAGGCTCTTTCTGCATGTACTTGTCTATTTTCTGTAAAACAAAATGTATCATTTCATATGAATACTCCAAATCCAAGTAATTGTGTCAACCATACTATCGAATTTACTTAGGCAACTTCAATAAGTAGCTTTAATGCTGTGCATGGATAGCAGACATTCAACATTTTTTTCCTCTGTTTAATACAGTGATTGGTATTTTGTAGCACATACTCTATGAAATAAGAAGTTTAAGAACTATCAATTTAATTTCTTGGCTCCATTAATTTTTAAATAATCCATTTCCATTTCCTTATGCATTTATTCCAAGGCTGAAAGTAATAATTCATTGTTTTTTTTAGGATGCTGTAAGAATAAAGTTATTGGGAAGGGCTCAACTTCCACAGAACTCAGGCCCTTTTAGTATCAAGGAAAAAATCTAAGAAAACAAATAAATTATTTGAATAGATCAGAATTGCTTGTATTCATCTCAAAATCTCCATGGTTAAGCAAACAGACAGAATGATAAGGAAATCCTCCCTCAATAAATTAGTCTTGTTCTGTGTAGGGAATTATAAGAGTTCTTGTACTCTATGTAAAAAGGCCCAACTCCTACTTAAAATGAGAGAGGAAAACAGAGCAGACTGATTTATTTCAAGCATGAGAGGAGATGAAACTCCCTATAAACCTGGGAGAGATAATCAAATCCACAGACTGAAGGAAAAAGCAGTAAAATGTAAATGGGTTTCCATTCTGTAGAATATCATAGAACTTAACACTATACAAAAGCAGAAGATTAGCAAGATTAAAGAAATATCATAAAGTATCTATTCCCTTTTTCCACAGTAGTGTATAGATAGCCTAAGGTAATTTATCATACATAAAAGATGCTCAACATTTTAAGGATAATTGGACATCCTTTTTCTGATGGAATTATCTTAAGGGAGGCTTACTTTGCTTTCAAAATAATAAATCTTGGAGACAGACTTGCAGCAGGATTATTTTTCTTTACCTGTACCACCTTTGTGCATTAAGCTGAGACTCCTTAAGATTTGTTTCTTTCCTACTACTTCTATTATCTCTTAACATCTATTAAAATACCTAAAAAAGTAAATGTGAATTATTCTAGAACAGATTTAATTACTTACAAAAAAACTGATTGCATTTCTTTTGTCTATAATCTAAGTCTTTGATTCAGTTCAAAATCTTTCTGTCTAATTTTGGCTTATCCAAAGCTTAAGAGGCAGAATATTATGCTCCATGGTACAATATTGAGCAATAAGCAGCACAACTGCCAAAAAGTACCTCTGTTAGAGATTAACTGAAGTGTCTCACATCCAAAGCTGATGTTTTTCTAAGTATTTATAAATATCTGTAAGATATTTATGTTAGGTTCTGTACAAAACGTTTTAGGTATTATAATTAAAAATAGTCAGTTGTTTTCTCAATACAAAAAGGGTTAGCTAATAAATTAAAGGTATTTCAACAGAATATAGTAATACGTAGTAATATAATTATGGTTATGTTCTCACTAATATTAATTCTTTCAGGTTACATTAAGCAAGACATGAATTAGCACTCACTGAATGTGTACTTCTCAGACTGCTTCTAGTCCCAGTTACAGTTTACTAGCACAGTAAAATTCAGTTTCAGTCTTCCAAACTTCACACTTCATTCAGTATTCTTCTTGATCTCAGTGACCTTTCAATTCAATCTATACCTATCTATCATTTTCATTTCTTTCATTTAAAAAAAAAAAAAAAAAAAACATGGCCAGAAATTTAACATGAAAACGTGTTGGTTTTTTTTCAGGGATACTGGACACTAAGTTTTAATTAGAAAGAAGCTGGGCCAAAATATTAAGTAATTGTGTGCTGCCTTCTGTTTTTCTTACAAACTGGACAGTTCTTACCCAAGGAAAATTAAATATCACATGTTTGGACATGTGGATTGTGATACAATTCATGAAATACCCTCTGCAGCATGTTGGTTATTTTTTGTTTGATAATTGTTTTTTCTTTAAGCAGGGTAGAGTAGGGGTTAGTGTCATTATTATTATTATTATTTTAATATTTATTTGTCATTTACAACGAGAAACAATATTAAGGAGAAATTTATCGGTGAAATTTATCAGTGTTTCTTTGTTTGGAACTTTTCATACTGTACTGCAGTCATTTTTCATGATAAATATTATGAGTTTTTTTCCACAATGACAAGAAATAACATTTCATAGCTGAAAAGAAGCTGACAATCTCTGTATTGGCTCAAAACAAAAATTATTGGACAAGCAAACCAGCAAAAAATAATAGACCTATCACTTGAATCTACTACATATTTCTTTACTCTTAAGTTATCCTAATAATATTCTAAAATTATTTTTAAAATGCTTTAGTGTTACGTTCATTCAAAATCCTTGTAAATGCACACATACTTTTGCACCA